TCCCGCCGCCGCCCCGCAGGTACGCGGCCCCGGCGCCGGCGGGCGGGCCCGCGCGCAGGGCCGACCGAGCCACGGCGGGCCGGGGGATGCGTGTGGCAGCGACGCCGCAGGCTCGGCTCGCCCGTCCAGGCCCGGCAGGGCCACGAGGGTTTCATCACGTGCGGCGGGGACGGCGCGGCCCAGGCCGAGCGCAGGAGCAAGGACGGCCGAGGGTGGGGGACCTCCTGGGCCCTCCGAGGCCACCCGCGCCCGGCGCGCTGCAGGACTCCATTGGAGGGGGGTCGCGGGAAGGGTCTCGCCCGCCCCGGCTGCGGGGATCCGGCGCCTTCGCTTTGACCTTGCTCGGGGCTGCTGCTCGGGAAGACACGTGGGGCCGCGCAGCTGGACTGCGCCGCGGTCCTGTGTCTGCGGCCTTGCTGGCTGCCGGGCTGCAGTAACTCCGGTGGCTACCTGGCGACACCCTCCTCAGCGGGGTTTTGCACCGTCATGAGGACCTGTGTTCCCTAAACACTTGCATTTGGAACCTGCCTCGCTTACGCCGGCCTGATTTTTTTTTTTCTCCCCAGACACTTTCGGAGCGAATCTGCTCCGATGGCCGCTTTGGCAGTGAAAGATTAACTCGCGAGGGGAGCCGTGGGTGGCCGTGGGGAAGTGTGCTCTGTGCCAGTGCAGTAGGTCAGGAGTGGGGCGGTCTCCCAATTTCCGTTGCTAGCAAGTGATGTCCTTGTGTGGCTCAGGCGTGCCGATTAGCCGTGCTCCGATCTAGATTTAGGTTTTGAAGCACAGGTGAACAAGTTTGTCCTTAGCTGGTAATGACCCTTTTTTCCCCCTCCCCCAGAAATGCTTCGACTACCCACAGTCCTTCGCCAGATAAGACCAGTGTCCCGGGCACTGGCTCCTCATCTAACTCGGGCCTATGCCAAAGATGTAAAATTTGGTGCGGATGCTCGAGCCTTAATGCTTCAAGGTGTAGACCTTTTAGCCGACGCTGTGGCTGTTACAATGGGGCCAAAGGTATGCGTATACTTAAGTCATGTTAAAGATAGTGTCTTCTAGCTGCAAGATAGACTTACTTTAGTGTCAAGTTTTGTGAAAATCTAGTTTGCATGTGGTACATTCTTGCCACAGTCTCGTTAATATTGCTGCAGCCGATTTGGGGGACTTCTTCGATGTAATAAAGGAGTTAATAGCTCAGGGAGGATTTTCCAACTTCAAGCACTGTGAATCTTGTGTGCATGCTTGCATTAAAGTTTGGATCCTTTCCCAGTAGTTAGAGGGTATAGAGGGAAAGTACAGGTCAAGGCTAATGCCTCACAGTGTATGGTTGTAGATGTGAGGTTTTACTTACTGAAGTATGCAATGCACTTAAAGTAAATGCACTAGCATAGACCTGATTACTTTTACTTTTTGTTTTTTGGGGTTTTTTTTTTTTAATGCATTGGTGTTTTGCCTGCGTGTATGTCTGTTTAGGGTGCCAGATCCCTTGGAACTGGAGTTACAGACAGTTGTGAGCTGTTGTGTGGGTGCTGGGAATTGAACCCCAGGTCCTTTGGAATAGCAGGCTGTACTCTTAACCATGGAGCCATCTTTCCATTATTCCGTTGCTTTTCTCATAGCCCTGGCTGTCCTGGAACTCTAAGCCAGGCTGGCCTTTGAACTCTTGTCTCCACCCCTGAGTGCCAATTCTGTAACTGTCACCACCACACATCTCCAGAACTGTTTGCACTTGCCCTTGGAGAGAAACTTGTGCTCTCCCATTCATCCCCTCATTGTACATACCTCATGTTTTCTGCAGTTTTCATACTCCAAACGTTTGTCTGGTTTTGGCTTTCTGGGAGAGTCTCAGCCGCTGACTTTCTTTGTGGCAAAGCCATCCTTGAACTCCTGATCCACCCTACGTCCACTCCCACTTGTAGGAAGTCCGTATACTACTCACCTGGTGTGTATTAAGACAAGGTCTCAAAGACCAAGCCAGTGCTGAGCTCAAAGGCTGGGATCACACTCATCTGTGTGGTTGAATAAGCAGCTGTAGTACTTTGAGGACATCATTGGATGTGGTGTACTTAAAGTGACCTAAAGAGCTGCACAGTCCAGGTAGAGGTATGGGGATCGCTGAGTTTGAGGGCAGCCAGTGCTATACAGAGAAGTCCTGTCTTTAAAAACAAACAAAAGGGGCTGGAGAGATGGCTCAGTGGTTAGGAGCCACCGGCTGCTCTTCCAGAGGACCTGGATTCAATTCCCAGCATGCACATGGAAGCTCACAGCTGTATGTAATTCCAAGATCTGACATTCTTAAACCATAATTGCAGACAAAACATCAATGTACATTTAAAAAAATAAAAATAAAAAGCTGCATAAAGTCCTGTTTGCATAGCTCAAGACAGAATGACTTGGTTCAAATCCAAAAGTTGCCAGTACTTTTGGTGCCGTGTTCTGAAGGTTTCTATTGAGTGGACAGGAAGAGCACACTGTTTATTCTTAACCTTATGGCAGATACATTGTGAATGAATGTTAAAGTAGATCATGCCTTAAAAATAGATGTTCATAAGGGCAGTGGTGGTTCATGCCACTAATCCCAGCACTCAGGAAGCAGAACCAGGTGGATCTCTGAATTGGAGGACAGCCAAGATTACACAGGGAAACCCTGTCTCAGAAAAATAAAAACAAAAAAAAAAGTTCACAGCCAAATTCATGTGCAAATGATGGGAAGAATGTTATGGGATTTGCTAATCAACTGTGTTTTCTTATTTTATAGGTAGCATCTGATAGTACCAGGAGTTGAATCTCCTATTGTGCCTCATTCAAGTTAGACTCCTGGTGAATGAGCAGAGTTCATTTTGTCTGTAGTCATATATGTGTTGATTAACTTGGCCTTTGAGAGTAATGTTGCAGCACTATTGTAAATGACAGCTTTTGAGACTTCATTGAGGGTTGCTATTTTCTTCTGTCACTGTAGGGAAGAACAGTGATTATTGAACAGAGTTGGGGAAGTCCCAAAGTAACAAAAGATGGAGTCACTGTTGCAAAGTCAATTGATTTGAAGGATAAATACAAAAATATTGGAGCTAAACTTGTTCAGGATGTTGCCAATAACACAAATGAAGAGGCTGGGGATGGCACTACCACTGCTACTGTTCTGGCACGTTCTATTGCCAAGGAGGGCTTTGAGAAGATCAGCAAAGGGGCTAATCCAGTGGAAATCCGGAGAGGTAAGAGTACCGGGTCTTTATCGTTGCCCTTTCATTCTTGGTGGAGTTGTCCTCTCCTACCTTTACATGGGTTTCCAACATCAAACTGAGGCCTTTCAGCTTTTGCCCACTAGGCCATCTTGCCTGTCCATGTCTTGTTTTTTTAACTTGTCTCATTTGATGGAAGTGTTTTGCTTTTGTTAAGAATGCATAGGGTCTCCCTCTTAGCCTTCCCTGGCTTGTTGCTCTGTATAATCCATGTGGGTCTCAGACTTGCAACAATTTTAATTCTCCTGTCTCAGCCTCTTGGTCCTGGGATTACAGATGTGAGCCACCCCTCAGCTTCTTGGTCAAGTTTTCAAAATGTTAGTGGTTTTCAGCTTAAATTGTAAAATTACAAGTGATTGGTTGAGTGCATGTCACGTCGTTTGGTGAAGTTAGGGGAGTGCTGCTGGCATGAGGTTGCATATAAGTGTTAGGAGTCTGTAAGCTTGTGCTCGGGTTGGGAACCATGATGATAGACATTGTGGTAACATACATTCTTGAACTAGGTGTGATGTTGGCTGTTGATGCTGTAATTGCTGAACTTAAAAAACAGTCTAAGCCTGTGACAACCCCTGAAGAAATTGCTCAGGTAAGGATTTTATTTATTTAATGTTTTAAAACTTGGGTCTCTTCATTTTTCAAGACAGGATTTCTCTATGTAGCTATGTCTGCTGCCATTCGAAATGTAGACCAGGCTGGCCTTGGACTCACAGAAGTCTGCCTGCCTCTACAACTGGAGTGCTGGGATTAAAGGCTTTTCCCACCACTGCCTGGTGTACTAATTTGAATCTTAATAGGTCTTTTTTTTCCCCTTTTACATGGGTGTAAAATTCATATTTATATGTAAAATTTTTATTATTTGCAAAGATGT